CAGTAAACTGTTGATACCGTTTATAAGTGGAACTTGCTGAAAGACCCCAATAATATTTGGTAATACAAAGGATGTGCTGGGGCTGGTAGTTAGTCCTGTATGCTCCTTAAGGGCCAGTTCACACCACATGCAGTCCAGTGCATTTTGTTTTCTAAATCAAAAACATTGATACTAGGTTACATGGTTTCATAGTTTACACCAGTGCAGTCAGTTCCAGTGTGTTCTAGTTCCAGAAAAAAGTAGAACATGCTGCATTTTTTCCACACTGAACTGTACTGGAACACAGTAAAATGCATCAAAAACACACTGGAATGCAACTAAACGCACCAATAATGCACCGGAACGCACATGTCCTTATTTAAGTTGAAAACAAATGGGAAAAAATAAACACACCAGATCATGCCAAAGCCCACATACAGGAATGTATCCAGAACACACCTGGACTGCATTTCTATGGTGTGAATCGTCCCTAAGAGAAGCCAGTGACGCCAAGTTAGTTTTATCTGAGTTTACAAATGAAAGCCACCAAATTAATAAAGTATACAGAGAAAAAAGCAACAGAGAGAGAGCAAATATGTTTTATTTTTTTAAGAAAGCATAAAGTACAACAATGGTAAACCATAGTAATTAAGTAACTAGGATTAGAGTTTAGTTTGGGATAGTAAGACCAGGCTTGTAATTAAGAGCTTTTATTAGTACTAATTTAAATACATGTTGTTGTTCCTTTCTCAGGCTCAACAAGAAATTACTCAACTTCGAAGAGAGCTCATGCGGTCTCCAAGACATCCAAAGCCAGCTTAACTGCTCAAACTATTCTGCGGCGTGTGGAGGCTGAACGTGACAGTGCCATTTCAGATTTGCGCCGAATGACTACAGAGCGAGATAGCCTAAGAGAAAGGCTGAAGGTAAGGAGTGAAATGTGAATATAGACAGTTCAGTATATTGGCTTCACATATCTTTGCCATAAAAAAAAACCCAAATAGAATAAAATAGTATTTAGCATACACTTTGTATATAAATTGAGAAAGTAACAATCACAGGATGTAGGAAAAACTATAGCACCATTTGATGCTTACATCAGCTTTGTTTTGTGTCTGTAGTTTTGTCTCTTTAACCACTTGACCTCCAGAAGGTTTAACCCTGTTCATGGCCAGGAACTTTTTTGCTATTCAGCACTGTACTACTTTAACTGGCAATTGCTTGGTCATGCAACACTGTACACAAATTAAATTTATATAATTTTTCACACAAATAGAGCTTTTTTGTGGTATTTAAAGGATAAGTTCACCTTTTGCATAGAAATAATAGATGCATATTTTTTGCAGGTAAAAAAAATGTGCATTTATTATTTTTTATCTGCAGGTGCCTTTAAAGCATTGTAGCAGAGATCAGCAGATCGCTGGTGCTGTGCAGATCTCCTGCAGTTCTGTCAGTATATCTGCTAGCCCATATGGGATGCACAAGCAAATATATACTGTCAGGAAGATCCAATGAACTACCACGGAGCTCCACAGTGCCATGGCAGTTCATTGAAAACCACAAGCTGACAGCCACTAAGGCTATTGGGACTTGTAGTGCATTCATTCACGGAACTCTGTGAGTGAATGATGCGGCCGTGTGGGTGGAGCCCCACCTGGGCGCGCTATTTTCAAATCTAACATATGGTATGGGGAACTTCTCCCCATACTTCTGTCAGAGGGAGGGGGAGCAGCGGGCAGCGGCTGCAGCTTTGGGAACATGTTACATGTTCCACCCTAAAACCAGGGGAACATGTAACATATTCCCAGAGGTGAACTTATCCTTTAATCACCAATGGGTTTTTTATTTTTTGCTATATAAATGAAATGATACTGAAAAATTTTAAAACAAAATATGTTTCTATTATAAAATTATGCAAACAAATAATCTTTCTTTATAAATTTAGGCCAAAATGTAGTTTCTTTGACAAAAATAACCCAAATCAGTGTACAGTATATTATTTTGTCTGTTTTAATTAGTTATAGGGATTGATTTACTAAAGGCAATAAGACTGTGTACTTTTCAAAGTGCAATTACACTCTGCAAGAGCAGCTGCTCCAGAGCCTAGTAAATGAGTAGAAGCTCTGCTGATTTCCATCATCCAATCATGTCCAAGCAAAAATGCTGTTTTATAAATTTTCCTTGCAAGTGATTGGGTATGCTTGGCAAAGGGAAGCTTTACCTCATTTACTAAGCTCTGGAGCAACTGCACTTGCAGAGTGCAATTGCACTTTTTCTGGTCTCACAGGACACAGCTGTCATTCAAATCCAGTGAGGAGGGAGCAGTAGGCGGGACTAAGACACGCTATATGTGTCTATGGATGCACACAGCCTGGCTCAGGCACAGTCTCACACGTGCCTCCATAGCACACAGCTTGCTATGAGGCACATGCAGAAGAGGTGGAGTAGAGAGCACAAGTAGGAGACCCCAGAAGAGGAGGTAACTGCCCAATGTCCTTGCACAGAGCAGGTAAGTATAAAACTTTTTTTCTAGGGTAAATACATGATACATGATAATACAATCACTTTGGGGGTCTCAGAGGGAATAAAGGATTAATTTATAGATTAACACAGATACTTGCAGGCATTGCAAAGTCCTTAAACTTCTGTACAACTATCACATGTTTAAGCCAGGTAAGGTTTACTTAAACAATATGGCAGAAAAACTGGTCAGCTTTGTTAGAACTCCAGGAATAAGTGAAAGTTTTTTTTTTTTTCTTACAGATTTCTCAAGAAACTGCTATCAGTGACAGAGCCCACTTAGAACAAAGAACAGAGGAACTGGAATCAACATGTCAAATAGTAAGTGCAAAAGGTTTTCTATGATTCATCACGTTTCTTTCAAATCAATTCACTGAACTTCAGTGTGATGTATTGCACACTGAGTTTGTGGGGGTGCATGCTTACATTTTTAGATAGAGTTAACACTCTATAGAGATTCGATGTACATAATTGTAACCATCCCAATGAACCCCAATCCAGGATGGTCAGACACAGCCACAAAATGCTGCTAAAAAGAAATAAGGTGATTACATACAACCCTTCTAAACATTTCACCACTAATACATAACACATTCAGGGAGAGGGGGCGATGCTGTAGTTTGTACGCTGTGCTGTATCTTCTATAATCTGAACCACACCTCTCTGTACCCTGTGCTGTACTTTATATTTTTCAAACTATACTACATTGTGCACAATACACTTTAACTTTTTATACTATGCTTTATCTATGTATTCCATATCGCTCCACACTGTACAATGTACCTCACATTGTATACCCCATACTGGTCTCAGTATTATCAGTTATGCAAACCACTATAAAGTTTTAACGATTTCAAATTCCTGCAGTAAAGGAATGAGCTCTGTTATCTTGCTATTTTTGTATATGTCAATGTCATATCTGCTAATGTCTTACTAAATATCCCATACATGAAGCACTGCCTAACACTTACCCCTCAGCTACTTGAACACTTAACACCTAACCCTAAAGAATCTGCATTCCATTAACGCTAAGGATCTATCTCTGATGGTCAGTTCACACCACAAAAACACACTCTGGATGTGTTTCGGATGTGTTTTTCCTTACAGTTCACGCCACACTACATTCCGGTGCTTTTTTGATGCATTCTGCTGTGTTCCAGTATGGTTCTGTGCAGAAAAAAATGCAGCATGTTCTACTTTTTGTCTGCACCAGAAACTGGCTGGAACTGACTGCACTGGTGTGAACTAGGGCCATTGGAATAAATGGAAAACACTGTGCATGCATTTTTGATGCAGAAAAGAAATTGCACTGGACTGCATCTGGTGTGAACCAGCCCTTAATCTTTCATTTAATCTCTTCTTTAAACCCTTTAAAACAATTTTTTAATTGACCTGCATTGTGCTTCTAAACTTACTAGGGAATTAACACTCAAGAAAGTGTCATTTACTTTTCACAGCCCCTGTATTGTGTTTTCTTAAAGCAGAACTACACTGTATATGAGCATGACAAACCAAAAGCACTATTTAATTCATTATTAATAGTCAAAGCAAACTCACCCATCCATCCATGTCTCTATTCTTTATTATGCTAAGAAAACATTTAGAAAAACACCCCCTAGCATTTTTGGCCGTGACCATCTTGAGTAACTGCAGATGATTTATGCAGCAATTACTCCTTGTAATCTATCTGCCCTTAGCTCAGGCATGCAGACAGGAGGGTGTGCTTAGCTGAGAAAACCTCTCCTGAAGACTCCTGGGATGTGTGCCATAATTTGCCTAGGTATGGAAACTAGGAAGTAACTAAAGAAATGTAAAAAAAATGGTTAATACAAGTAAATGTGAGTTCCTTTCCTATCTATTTACTAATGCTAGCAGCATAAGGATTCAAAATAGTCAATGTTGATTGGGAGAGTGAAGTTCCACTTTAATTTCCAGACTAATAAAAAGAAGACTTTTATTTCATTTGTACTGTGAATGTGTGCCAGGGAAAACTGTGTTTGCTTGGTGCATGCTCTTGATAAAATTTGTTACAGCAATGGTGGTTTGCTTAATGCCCTCAATATAGATGGAAAGTGAACGAATGGAGCAGAAGTCTAAGCTGGCTTTGCTGAAGGACGCATTATCCACAGTGGAAAATGAACTGAAATTGCTTACTAGAAGAGCATCAGATTTAGAAAATGAATTGAGGCAGCAAAAATCTGAGTGTGATACTTTGAGGTAGATTTATTTTACATCTTTATTTTTTCTGTTTTATGGTATAGAAATAAATATGTGTAAAAATGTAGCACATTGTTGTAGTACATTTCTGCATCATAGAGTTCTTTATTTCTCCACTGAGAATGCTCCATAGCATACTAATGGAGGGGAACATTTTTTTACTTCAAGCTTGTTGGTCACATACATTATATTGCCAAAACTATTGGGACACCCCTCCAAATCATTGGATTCAGGTGTTCCAATCACCTCCATGACCACAGGTGTATAAAATCAAGCACCTAGGCATGCAGACTGCTTCTACAAACATTTGTGAAATAATGGGTTGCTCTCAGGAGCTCAATGAATTCAAGCATGGTACTGTGATAGGTTGCCACCTGTGCAATAAGTCTTTCCATGAAATTTCCTTGCTACTAAATATTCCAGTCAACTCTTAGTGGTATTATAACAAAGTGGAAGCAACTGGGAACAAGAGCTACTCAGCCACGAAGTGGTAGGCCATGTAAAATGACAGAGCGGGGTCAGAGCATGCTGAAGTGCACAGTGCGCAGAAGTTGCCAACCGTTTGCAGAGTCAATAGCTAAAGATCTCCAAACTTTGTGTGGCCTTCAGTTTAGCACAACAACAGTGCATAGAGACTTTCATGGAATGGGTTTCCATGGCTGAGCAGCTGCATTCAAGCCTTACATCACCAAGTGCAATGCAAATTGTTGGATGCAGTGGTGTAAAGCACGCCACCACTGGACTCTAGAGCAGTGGAGACTTGTTCTCTGGAGTGATGAATCACGCTCCTCTGTCTGGCAATCAGATGGATGTGTCTGGGTTGGGCGATTGCCAGGAGAATGGTACTTGCCTGACTGCATTGTGCCAAGTGTAAGGTTTGATGGAGGGGGGATTATGGTGTGGAGTTGTTTTCAGGGATCGGGCTTGGCCCCTTAGTTCCAGTGAAGGGAACTCTTAAGATCTCAGCATAACAAGACATTTTGGACAATTTCATGCTCCCACCTTTGTGGGGACAGTTTAGGGATGGCCCCTTCCTGTTCCAACATGACTGCGCACCAGTGCACAAAGCAAGGTCCATAAAGACATGGATGAGCGAGTTTGGGGTGGAGGAACTTGACTGGCCTGCACAGGGTCCTGACCTCAACATGATAGAGCACCTTTAGGATGAATTAGAGCGGAGATATCGACCCAGGCCTTCTCGTCTGACATCAGTGCCTGACCTCACAAATGCTCTGCTGGAAGAATGGTCAAACATTCCCATAGACACACTCCTAAACCTTGTGGACAGCCTTCCTAGAAGTGTTGAAGCTGTTATAGCTGCAAAGGGTGGCCAATTCAATATTGAATCCTACGGACTAAGACTTGAATGCCATTAAAGTTCTTGTGTGTGTAAAGGCAGGCGTCCTAATACTTTTGGCAATATACCTGTAGTTTATGTGCAGCTGAGCTTGTTGTCTTAAATGGCACAATAGTCCAACTGAACAGCACAGCAAATCGTAAAGCATAGTTTGTGTCCTGAGTTTTAGTGAGGTGCTTTTTTAAAGTGCTGGTGACCACCAGCAAAAGGTTGTGTACTCATTATCCTTACTCTTTGAGGACAGAGTTTAATGTCCTTTTTCTTACAACAACCTGGATTTACAAATGAAATTGATGCATCGCTTGTCACAAAGGTTGAATTCTCATACACAGAACCTACAATATATAATTTTGGCATGCGTTAGTATTGGAACCTTTGTGCTCCTATTGTTTTAGATATTTTCGGTGAATAAATATTTTTTTTTAACATAGATATATTTACAGTGTATTCGCTTTTGCAGATTATTGAAGAACAAAGCAGAGCTCTCCTTAGAAGAGACTCAAAGACGACTTTCAATGAAACTAAATGAGCTACAAAATGGCCAAGACAAAATAGTGCGACTTGAAGGAAAAATTGGTATATTTTTATCATTTCAAAACAAAGTGGTATTTCATGCTAAGTCATTTATAACACAATTTTTTAACATATTTTACTGGTTCAGAAAAATGAATCCTCCATTGGTTTGGCTTATTTATCAACCACATTGCCAAATAAATATGTAGTTACGTATTCAAGAGAGTAGAGGTGTACACTGATGTGTACCTAAATGTTGCATATATATACTGTATATATGCAACTGTAAAACAATCCCCTCTTTTCTTCACACACCATGGGGTTGATTTACTAAAATGGGAGAGTGCAAAGTCTAGTGTTGCTGTGCATGTACAATACAAATGTATGGGAATGCATTAATACTATTTTCCCTTTGAAAGCCACCAGCAGGCACTTTGTGCTGTGTTTATAAATTTTGCATAGCAGTTAACCAAGTGAAAGTGCATGTACATTCATTTTGTGTGAATGGGACAAAACATATTTCTTAGGCTATTTCCTGGGCTGAATACATTATTTTTCATTGATTTAAAACTGAAAATACAGCATGTGACCACTAGATGGCACTACATATAATTTGAATTTCCTATTATACTTAGTGCCATCTAGTGGCCAAATATATTCTTTTACATTTTAAAACAATGAAAAACATCTAGCACAGGAAATGGCCTAATAACATATGTTTAACCACATGCCTACTGGGCAGTTTTTCCCCCTTCCTGCCCAGGCCAGCTTTCAGCACTGTTGAATTTTGAATGACAATTGCGCAGTCATGCAAAACTGTACGCAAATGAAATTTTTATAATTTTTTTTTAGACAAATAGAGCTTTCTTTTTATGATATTTAATCACCACTGGGTGTTTTTATTTTTTGCTAAACAAATGAAAAAAAAAGTTTTTCTTAGTTTCTGTTATAAAGTTTTGTAAATAAGATATTTTTTTCCTTCACTGATGTGCGCTGACGAGGCTGCACTGATGGGCACTGATAGATTGCACTGATAGGCACTAATGAGGCTGCACTAATGGGCACTGATGAGGAGCCACTGATGAGGCTGCACCGATATGAGGCACTGATGGGCACTAATATTCTGCACCACTGATGGGCACTGATAGGCGGCACTGATGGGCACTGACAGGCATCATTAATGGGCGCTGATGTGCACTGACAGCCAGTACTGAGGAGGCACTGATAGCCAGCACTGATGGGCACTGATCGCAAGCACTGATGAGCACTAATAGCAAGCATTGATGGGCACTATTAGCCACAACTGGTGGGCACTATTAGCCAGCACTAATGGGGCTACACTGATCATCAGGGCAATGATGATCAGTGCCCTGTCAATCAGTGTAGATGTCCCCTCTGAGGAATGCCGCTTACTGACTGTCCTTTCCTCACACGCTGTCAGCATTAGGAGAGGACTGCCGATAACTGGCATTTCTTGTTTACGCTGTGATCAGCTGTGATTGGACACAGCTGATCACATGGTAAAAGGCCGCTCTGATTGTCCCTTGTCCCTTGAGCCCATGCCCCTTGGCCATGCCCTCTGAGCGTTTCACCCAAATTAGGCTTAAGCTGACCATACATTATACAATGTTCTTGTGTAATGTATGGCCAAAGCATTCTGACTGCTTTATTGATAGATTTCTATGCAAGCACACTCTATTGGTGGTCATAAACAGCTGAATAATAGCAGGTTATGGGCCTAATTTTGAGCATTCAAGAAGCTGCAGTTTGGCCTTACCCTGATCCACTTCTTTAAAAAAAAAGTACAATGGTGTGTGCTTTACAAATGTGTAAGAATGTACTTTGCTCACTTCAGGACTCCTAATCAAGTTTAGTACAATTAGGGCTCGTTCAGATGTGCAGCTATACTGTCACTCTTCTGAAAAATAATCTACTTTTCAGAGGGCATTTGACAGGCAGTGAGGAGGCAATATATCACCCCCTAGCCTCCTCCTTTATCCCTTAAAATGTTGACCCACTACTCCGCAACCCCATGCATTTCACATGGTTGCAGGGTGGTTATGGTTCCATCTCATTTATTTGAATGGGTTGCGTAAGATGGAGGTACCACTTGCAGAAAGTGACACACTAATCAATTTATGCTTTGCTGCAAAGCATTACAGCTGCAGCATGTGTACCTCTCTGCATGTGTACTCCACTGCATGCCCTAGTTTAGGTCAGATGGCAGTAATTCCACAGCTCAACCACCTGCTCTTAGTGCCCCCAAGTGCCTGTGTGAATGATCCCTTAAAGTGAATGAAGTAATTAAAAGAGCCGGGTAGAGAGCCTGGTCACGTGATCTGTCAAAGTCATTTGACAAGCCTCTTTTACATACCACAGGTTCTATACTGCAGCCTGCCTTTTTTCAATAATCTGTAAAATTCAGGCTACCGTGTTGAATAATACTTTGGAGTGTAATGCAGAGTGAATAGGGGTATCTATTTTCCTCTAGAAATAGGCTCCTTAGAGAGACAAGCAGCCCCATTAGTAAAAAGCTGTGGATATTTTACAGGAAGATTTAATTTTAAGTTTTTTTAACCATCTTTGGTCATCCTAAGGCTTGATAATAAAATTAGAAATGACACCAATATGCACTGATGGTTTATAATCACCAACCAAAAAAATCTATAAAGGTTTCTTCTGTAATGGCATTTAAGGTAATGATATGTAGCATGGTTGCATTTAGATTACTGTAAATACTTGCTGTTTCCTATACAAATTAGACATTTCTTTTTTTTTTTTATGCAAGTTCACAAATGTTGCACAGTAGTCAATTTTATTGTACTGATACAGCTTCATCTCTGCATACTATTCCATATCTCTCCTTGTCCATGTTCAATATTGCTTATGATTTACTATATTTTTAATTTATAGATGAACAGTCAAGCCAACATCTCATCCAACAAGAAGAAATAGAAATGCTCCGTGGAACAGTATCTGAGCTGGACAAGGAAAAGGACAATTTAATACGCAGTGTGGATCAAAAAAACGAAAAGATTTCCTCACTGGAAGATAATATCTCTCTAAAGGTAGATGAATACCAGTTCTGTACTTTTTTGGTAACCATTCAACAATGTACTGTAAATATTTAAATTACTGTTCAGCTCATCCATTGAGAGACACATTCAATCTTTTAATTTAAGGTTATATTGCCACCTACAGGAGGATTGGACACTGGCAATCAAAAAACTGTAGCCCAGGACGATCCGTCCTACTTCTGGCATTCAACATTTTTGCTAGTGTCCTATGCTTTTCTTTAGCTATTCTGTGGTAAATATCCTGTTTTTTTGCTAGCATTTTTTATACTCTGCAATTTTCTCCTTAATCAAGAATTCTCTCTACATTATTGCTAGAGCTTATCTCTTCATTTGCAGCATACCCATGGAGTAGTCTTTAGCCTGGGCTTTGGAATATCTCATCCGTACGCCCGTACTAGACTGGACTTAGTGGGACTAGCTAAAGGTGACCTTCGCAAACTGGGTTCCATCTGGGGCATGTTCTAGTATCTGTTCTGATAAAAGTTAACTTCCAGGTGCAGAACCGCTCACATTGTTTCAGCAATTGCCCGATCTCACTGAGTAGACCAGTCGGGTCGAACACTTAGAGCTACATCATTTACATAGTTTTCTGGGCAACTTTATTCTTTGTTCCCACTGATTTCTGCCATGGAAGGGTTTATTGCTGTGGAATTGAGCACTGGCATTATCTGTTTGCTGGAGTGTCACATGCACATGCTCTGAGCTCGAGGAAGTAT